AAAAAAAAAAAAAAAAAAAAAAAAAAAAAACTTCTGAAGAGTGGAGAGAGGTAACCTGGGTGATGAAGTAGACGCAAAAAGAGACTCCGCACCCTGAAGAGTGGTCCTGAGAAGCAACAACTCTATTACCCTATTTCTCTGCTCTTTATCCCTGCAGTCCACATACTTTTAATTCTTTCGGTGACCTCATGCTAATTGCCTTTTATGGCTGAGAAAACCAATACCATGAAGACAGAGTGACCGGGTGCCAAAGGGACAGCTTGTCAATAGCCCAGAGTCGGACTCGGAAGCTCTTCGGTCCTGGCCAAGATGCATCTTTTCCTACATGACTGCTTTTAATCTTGGGGCTCTGAGAATAAGCAGTTTTTTCAAAGTGGCTCTGGGTTTCTGCTGGCTGTTTCAAACAGCTCTCTGAAAAGTCCAAATAATGATCTCAGCTCAGTGAGTCCACTGTACCTTCCAATCTGGTGGAAAAATACAACTCGTCCACACGTGAGCCTCTCCTCTCAATTCCACGGCGGTAAGGGAGAGTTGTAGGCAGCAGGAAAGTCTTCGTAACTATGCATTTCTTGGTGGAGAGCTGTACAAGAAGAAACTGGGAATCAAAACACTGATTCGACTTCCACAACAGCCAGTTAGGTAAGATTTCTCAGTGAAGCTGAAAATTGCTCAAAAAATGAGTAAGTGTAGAGATGTAGCAGAAATTTGCCTTAAATTTGAGCCAGCAGACGTGATTTTTAAAAGTAATATTCCACTTAAAGTCCCCCCACACATTCACTAAAAGATTTATAAAAAATACTGCACATCACACTTGAAATACCTCTAATTTGAACCAAAGTAACTGAATTTGAATCTCTAAATTTGAAAAATTCTAATATAACTCTGCAAATATATTTGCCATATTTGTTGCTACATTTGTAGAGGGGTCGGTGAGTCAGAAGCAAACGCTATAGGGAAGATTATTTACAGACAAATGTAATGAATAAATTAAACTCTGAATTCGTACAGATCTGGCAAGTTCCACTCCTGTCCCAGATCTCAGGTTATTACCATCCTGTCGTCTGCTTTCCGAGTCTGGGAACTGGGGGATGCCGCGGTGGTGCTGGGAAAGTATCTTTTCAGAGGAAATGGAGGTTAACCAAGTTTTAGGTCTCGGTTAAACTCCGTTTTTGAACAATGCATTGCTATCAACTCTCTCAGGATTGCATGCACATAAGACTGGGCCTTTAGCGAACGTGGTTCTCTGTCAGGACTAGGCAGGCTTCTCTCCTGCGCTGAAACGGTCATAAATAATACAGCGCCCGCCAGGTCGGATTAATATGAAAAGCGGCGCTGGCTGGTGCATTTTAAAGGCCTCTTGCTCGGTGCTAAAGTTCACCATTTGTAAAAGCCCTGCAGTTTGTCCCCAACCCTTAGGGTCCCCGACTCTCGCAGCTCCCCGCGGGCTGTTTTTCGTTCAAAATCACCCCGTCGCGGGGCGTGCGTGCGTGGGCCCCGCACTGTCGCCGCCTGAGCTGCCCATGCATTGCGC